TGTTTCATAACCTAAAAGACATCTGTCAGTTATATGTGTTTTTGTCTAATACTTTCTCTTGTTTATAATAAATTTGCATAATTATTATTAAAAATATCGACACAAAAGCGTCTTCAAAAAACAACAAAATTGCAGTACGAGTATTTGCTAAAAATGGTCTTAATTCCTCAATAACACTCACGTTATATCTTAACAGTTAACGTTAACCTTAACGTTTAACCCTGAAATAACATAACAGTTATTATGATAAAATGGGATACATACTCAGCCTGAATGTCTTTGTATATGGCAAATAATATTTATACCAATGACGAATATGTCGTCATGCTGCAGTAAGATTATACCACAAAATAAAAAACCAACGGATTCCTCATAGACAAACATTGGCCTCGATGGAAAGAAGGCTTTCGCGAAACTGATAAAATTCTGCCCAATTGTGAGCGTGCCGGAAGAAGGCGTAATGTCCGAACTGTTGAAACTGAGGAAGATGTACTGGAACATCTAGAACAAGACTGTGGTACAAGCACAAGACAGGCGTCCAGGCAACCTAATGAATATACTTTTCACCAATGAAGCAAATTTTCCTAGAGTAGGTGCAGTAAACCTTCATAATGTTCATTCATGGTCGGGAAATATTTGTTTCAAGATGTCAATATAATTTCAGTTTAAACGTTTAGATGGAAATTGTAGGAAATACTCTAGTAGGTCCTTTTATTCTTCCACACAGGCTTGGAGCGGCCGAGTATCTTAGATTTTTGAACGAAAATCTTCCAACATTACTTGAGGATGTACCCCTCGCTACACGTCAGTGGTATATGCACGATGAGGCGCCTGCACATGGTACACTTGCCGTTAGAGAATGGTTAAATTTAAATTACCCGAATCGCTGGATTGATCGTGGTTGTGATATCCCTGTTTGTTGACCTGCACGTTCACCTGACCTAACGCTTATGGATTTCTTTTTGTGGGGACACATAAAAAGTATTGTTTATGCCACTCCAACTGCGCTTAAGACTATTTCAGGCAGCAGATGACCTTCGCAATAACCAAGAACTGTTTTTGCGCGTGCGTTATAACTTCAACAGACATATTAAGTTATGCTTGTAGCAAAATGGAAATTATTTCGAGAATATTCTTTTTTAATTTTGCATTTCTTGTTTTTTTTCAGATAAATAACTTTACCTAATACATGTCCCATAGTCATATGTTATCAAACATTTTTCATGAAGTAATGCAAATTATTCTTAATGTTATTATTAAATTACCAGCTTATTGACAGAAAGTGTCAATTTATTAACATGATAAATAACAATTTATTTGTTGTGACATTCGCCTACTTTATTTTTAC